ATTCTTACAGATCTATGGGAGAGGATGAAGGAGGTTAGGCGTTCTCTTCTCTAGCGGTGATCCACATAATAGGGGTTGCGAAGAAGCTTAGTCTATGGCTCTTTGGTTCTTTCCTATTTATAGAGGCCCCTTGTCAACTTAACCCTAATGGATCTTACCCTATTTGGTATTGGATCTTCATCCAATTACCCTATCTTCTTAGATTAGTGGATCTCTATCTAATAATCTCTCATTGATTCTTATTGGATCTCATCTAAAGATCCAATAATTCAGGGGCTTATTGGATATCTAATAAGACAAGGGATCCGACGGATATCTTATATCTGAACATCTATTCGTCGCAACACCAACCATATGTGTGTGACCCTCTAGGCCCAATATCAAGCTAGTCATGAGTCATACCTGTCAAAATTCCTTCTGGCCTAGTGAATTATTATCTTTATAATTCACTCGACTCATCGATTGTGGACGTACTAGGCCCAATAAATTATTATCTTCATATATTTATATGATATGCAAGTATACCATTATTCGATCTAAAAGAAGCTATGATGTTGATCTGCAAAAAAAATTAGACTCACATTCTCTTTTTCTTATCTTTCATAGGACCATTTTATGCGATGAAATTAGAATAGAGACAAAGGAGAGATGAGAAAAGATTTATAATCTCTCAACTTATAACTTAACGTCACATTATATCATGTATTGAGTCCCTAGAAGAATCTGTTTATTTATAAGTGAGACCAGAGAGTCTAGGATAAATAATTAATAGAGTTCTTCTCATCAAAGTCATCTCCTAAATAATTCTATCATAATAAAAATAAAAAATATTAGTCGATAACTATAACCAGAATCCAATTAGACATCTCAAGATCGAGAGATGAGGTGCTTGATATATACTGGTTCTGTTTGTTTTGTTCTTTCAACATTGTTACTACCATAACGAGGTGGAAGTTTGATTGTTTCGAGCACCTACCAAGATGGATACAGTGAGTTGGAAGAAGAAAAACTTACGGTATGGAGTGTAACATAAAAATTGAGCTATAAGAGGGGTTTTATCATCATTCTAATAGAGGAGATAATTGAATTCATTATCAATTGTTAGTTGGTAGTGTTCAAATGTTTCTATTCAATGTCGGTGATTTCAAGTTGCAACAATATGATGCCAAAGTTTGTGACATGCAAAGTAGACACACACAAATTTGGTCGACTATCAAATTTATGGTCGATGACTGCCCTATCAGACCTTGTCATGGAGATTGTGTTGTCATCATTGGCATTTCAGATGACTCCGATTACAGGTAGATGATCTAATTTTTTCAAATTTATTTTTTTTTATCCTGTTTTGAGTTTATACAAATTCTTGTGTGGTTTCCTCGATGAATTATTTGCAAAGCATCTTATCTGTACTTTTGGTAAAATATAAAAATACACCTGTGAAATTATTTGCAGTAGGCTTTGAACCTTCAGTCATAGCACACCTTTGTGAATCTGCAGCTAAGCATTGTTTCGATATCAATTTTGTAGTTACAGTATGATCTTGCAACATTATGTATAAAAAGTTTGTTATTCTGGGAATTTGTGTAAAGTCTCAATTCAATAAGCTGGAGCAGAAATGTGTTTGGTGTGACAGAACTCTAACAATTTGTGTTTTTATTTCTTTTTCTGGAATGTCGTGGTGAAGATTGTATTCGTTATATACTCTGTTTGGATAAACTTTTGATGTCTATTCTCATCAGTAGACTTCAACAATTATTGAAATGCTGTTATGAGACAGCATTTGCTGCAGAAGATCCAACTGAGTTCCCTCCTTTTACTTAAACTATACCCTGCATGGAGTTCCTCTGTGTTGTCGCCTTCAGCGACCTCTGGACCTAGTTTTCTTCTCCTTTTATTACGCGGCTCCATATCTGGAGAATAGTTGGCCTTCCCTTACCACCATCATACCATGAACGAAAGTGCACTTTAGGCAAAGCTGCAGAAGATCCAACTGAGTTCCCTCCTTTTACTTAAAACTATACCCTAATGCTACATAGGCTTAGAGATGTAATTTGTAGGATAAGAGTTTAGGTCAAACTTTACTTTTTGACCTACTAATATCTTTTTCACCAAAACAACTGGTAGATTGATGAACCTTAGTTCATGAAGATTATTATTGACAGTCCTCATTTATTATTTATGTTTTTGTTTTAATATTTTTTAATATATCAAACTATCCCTTTATAAATATCCTCTTCTTCCTATTCTTTGTACTCCTCTTTTTCTTCTCCTCTTCTTTCTCGTTCATAGACAATAAAGTTGACGGAGACTGTGTTGTCAAAAGATTAATAACAGACAAGTAAGCTGGAGTTGGCAATCAGTGATAATAGCTTCCTCCTCTTTTAGAACTAGTAGAGTTAGTAATGATGGTGTCAGCAAAAGATAGATGGCAAGCAAATAGGTTGGAGTCGACGATCAACGACAATGACTTCCTCATCTTCGGAGCAAAAGAGCCTATGACGATGTTAATGAAAGATCAATGGCAAGCATGCAAGCGGGTGTCGAACGATGTAATAGAAGCTTCCTCTTGTGGGCAATGATCGACATTAATTGACGATGGAAAGAGTTGATAACAATAAGAATGGTGGATAGTAGAGTGGGCAGGTAGAAGCCATATGGAAAAAGAAAGTAGATGAGGGTCAAAATAGAGTTAGAGTGATTATGAATAATTAATTAATTAATTAATTAATTTATTATTATTATTATTATTATTATTATTTATTTTTAAAAATTATTAAAAATAGTATATTGTCAGAATCTGTTCGACCAATCTTTTCAACATAGGATTGTTTCTATCCATAAAATTTCTTCATCCAGAATTCTATTCCAAATACGATCATAATTAGATAACTTCATCCTATCTGGTACTCATAATTACAAAAAAAAACTTGTCTATCCTTGTAAAAAGTATTAAGAATTTTTTTTTAAAAAAATTATTAGCAATGGTTTATTTACAAACAAGTGGCACCAACCGTGGATAGAGAATGTCTTTCAGCATAATGACCAATCTTTAGTCACCATGAATGAAAGAAATGGTGATCTTCTTCTATGATGGATAAAATTAGTAATAGATATATTATTTGTGGCTATGATCATTGGATTTGAGATTCCCATTCAGAGTAGAGATACTCTACTTTCAATTTGATTCGTCTTAAATATATCATTTAAGGTAGGTTATATAATTTAAAATTTATGAACAAAATGTTCTATCCGTTGGCGTTGACAATTATCTTATATATAGGTTTGATTGTCAAGTAAAAGAAAAAAAAAAACTTCTTTAGGGAGGAAAAAAGATCATAAAATATATAGGTTTGATTATCTTATATATAGGTGTGGAGGGAGGACATGAGAGCAGTGCGGGTGGTGAGTTTCTTCTTAATTGATTGTGGGTAATTTTTCTAGAAAAAAAATATTCAGTTTTTGAAAAGATGAATCATTTTGGTTTTTTACAAATGATATCTCCTAATTCAAATGATACTTCAATTATCCTTCAAAAAATTGATTTTATTATTTTGCCTATGTTCCAGGCATCCTATGGACTGGTATGGGTACCCGATCCAAGTGGACAGAAAAACACTATAAATTGAGTTGTTTATATACAGAAAATATTATAAGTTGAATAAAAAATATTGTAAAAAGAGTTTTTTTTTTTATATTCTTGTCATTCATTTCACTTTATATCATGTCAACAAATACAATATGATGCAATTTGCATTAATACATTTCATACAAGTTGTGTTTTCTCTCATAGAAAACAGTGTAAACAAATACAATATGATGCAATATGACATAGTTGGCACTTATGGATTTCATATAAATCATAAAAATCATTTAGGGTGTTTTGGAACATCATTACAATATTTTCGTTTAGAAAAAACTATAAAATGAATAGAAAAACACTATAGATGGGTCATTTCTCAAATTCTTGTCATTCTGTGTCAGCAAGTGCAAAAGGATATAATTTATACTTATGTATTTAATATATGTCATAAAAAGTCACTTATGGTGATTTGGAACGTTGAAAACATATAGCTATCTTCCAAAACACCCTAATACAAATTATGTCTTATTGCATTTATTGACATAGTATAAAATGAAATGAATGATAAATATTTGGAAAATATTCTTTCGATAGTGTGTTTTTTGTTTGCTTTACATTGTTTTTTTAATATATGAATGAAAATATTATAATGTTCAAAAACATCCTAAATGACTTTGTCCGATTTGTTTGAAATACATTAGTACAAATTATGTCAGATTATATTTATAGACATAATATGAAGTGGAACGAACGACAAGAATGTAAAAATAGTGTTTTCATAATGTTTTTCTATATATGAACAATCGCTTTATAGTACATATTTTTTTAATCCATTTATATCGGTGGATCCTATGGACTAAAACATGGGTAGGGATGATACTATCAACTTTTATTTTTGAATATAAAGAAGGATTGTGGAACTATAAATCTCTTTATTTTGAAAGTGGATCATATACCACCCCGCATCGCTATGCTCTAACTCACCAATCGCCCATCCACAGCCCAACTATCTTATCCTTGTTAAGGCGTATGACCTGAACGAGGATAATAGGAAAACCATACGATAATTTCATCCGAGTTGGAATTTGGGTTTGCGAGACGGGAGGGATTTAAATCTGGAATCTATTATCTATCTGAATTTGGGCCGAATTATAAGCAGACTGGGATTTAAATCAATTCGAAAACTGACTCGACTCAAATTTGGATTTGGGTTATTAATTTTGGGTTGTTAAGATGTCTGACCCGAACCTGAATGACAGGAAAACCATACCATACGATAATTTCATCTGAGTCGAAATTTAAATCTCAAATCTGCTGTCCGGATTTAAATTAATTCGAAAACCGACTCGTTTGCGAGACGTGTTTTTCTCTATTAATTTTGGTTTTGATATTTGGGTGTTAACCATGCAAAAACGTGTTGGGCCCTAAAAGGCCACACCCACACCCTATGGCGCCACTTTGATATTTTCCCTGCCGGAACACCGCTTCCCTTCTCCTCCCATCTCCACCTCTCCATCGACACAATCCTGATGGCAGGCTATCCTCCGGGTTCCGGTTACCCACCCTACGGCGCACCACCGGGAAACCCCTATGGCGCTCCCCCGTCTTACGGCGTTGCGCAGCCACCCTACGCCTCCACCCTGCCCTACGGTGCTCCCGCTCCCACGCCGTCGGCACCGCCGGCCGAAGTGAAGCCCCCGAAGGAAGGTAAGGCACAGGGTTACGGGGGCTACGGGCAGCCTTCTGGGTACTATGGCCATCCCCCTCTGGCCGCGTCAGCACCGCCTCCTCCTTTGGGGTCGTACGGCGCCGGCCCGTTCGCGGCTCTGCTGCCATCGGTGTTTCCTCCGGGGACGGACCCGAACGTGGTGGCGTGCTTCCAGGCTGCGGATCGGGACGGCAGCGGGTTCATCGATGACAAGGAGCTGCAGCAGGCGCTGTCGTCCTACAACCAGAGCTTCAGCTTGAGGACCGTCCATCTCCTCATGTACCTCTTCACCTCCTCCAATGTGCGCAAGATTGGTAATCTTTTAGTCTCTCGTTTCCCATCCTTTGCAAACCACCTTTTCTTTTTCTTGTCAATGTTACCCTCTAATTAATACCTTTAATTAATTGTATAATGTTGTCATTATTTTAGCGTGTACCTCACTTAAGAAACTTATGGGGACTCTTATCTTTTTCTTGATATCCTCTGATTCTGCAAAATCATTGTGACTCGTTTTCAGATACAAATTAGATATTTTGCAGAAGTATCCTTTCATATGCCTATTTCCAGAATTAATTCTCTTCCATTCTTTATCTTCCAAGTTTTAGTTGTCTCTAAGTTCATCCAATTTCTTCATGTCTAATATATACTGAGTTTGTAGAACGTCCTCCGTCATGACTTCTTACAGCATAGAGAAATGTAGAAGATGATTGAAGCTTAAGTGATTAGTTCACTCAGTAGTGAATTATAGCTACGAAAGTTCAATAACAGTTGATAACTTAATGTCTTAGATCTTCTAAGCAACTTTTACTTGATTTATTGACAGTGATTTTCTATTTACTTGACTTTTAGAACACATGTCTCATGTGATAAAAAAGGTTGGTGTATCCATAGGTTTTAGCTAATCTCAAAAACTCAATGTTAGGCAGATCAGTCAGATCAAATCAGCAGGAGCAGAATCGGCTAAAAATAATCTGAATTTAAAAATAATGTATGAAAATTAAAGAAAATTATCTATTAGTGAGGGCATACTTCTGATCAAGAGGTTGGAACCATTTTATGATTAGACATTTTCACAAAAACACCTATTTGAAAATGCTAACAGATTTTTTAAACCTTAGTATCCTTAACATAGAATTACTTGGCATCAAAACGATTGAAAATAAGACGATGAGAATGATAAAGTGCCAACAAAAAATGATGAAACATACATTTGAAATTCCATGAAAAAAGAAAAAGTGTGACCTAAATTCAACGGGACTTAAAATTAGACTAAGATCTTACCTAACTACTAATTTTCTTTTGAAGGATTTTTATGGTGGAGTAACCTAATCTTCTAAATTTTGACTTGGCTAGGACCTTTTATGCACGTCAAAATCTGGTTGGACCAGCACATACCGTTTGAAATTTACTAGTCCAACCTATTTGTGGTATGTGAATCAGACAATTTTGTCTGACCTGATCAGAAACAGATTTTTTATTTTATTTATTTTTTAAAAGGTGTACAGTTGAAAAAAAGTTGTCATTTAGCTGTTGACAATGAATGTTGGCAGTCAATAAAAATTAAACATAGAGGGAAAACAACAGTAACAGCTCTTTCTCTTTCCATTGCTCAGCTATCGATCAAAACCTTTGTCGCCAATGCCTTGTATCCACCTTTTCCCACTTTGCCACTGTCATTTGCGTTGCTGCCTTCTTCTATGGTACACAGCCATCTCCTCCTCCTCCACTTCCTCCTCTTTCTTATCTTCCTTTCCTATTCCTCCTCTCCTCCTCTTCCCTTCTCCTTCTCCTCTCTTCTCTTCATCTTTTCTCTTTGGTCCGTGTTGGCTGGTACGAGGGCATACCATGCGTCAACTTGCTCCACGTATTAGGATTTGTACTGGTCTGACCAAGAACTAATATGAGACTCGGACCAGAATTTGAAACCTTACTTTGATGCATGACTCATTTTAGCTTTGTGGTATTATGTCATAATTATCTGATATGTTTTTATCTTTTTCTTGAGCACTATATGGCAGATAATTATGGTCAATCCTCACATGATAAGGCTCATCTGTACATTAAATTCACTGAGGTACTTCTCTTCATCAAATTGCTCATAAATTGAAAGAATCTTGTGTAAAACTAGAAAAAAAGACAAATTTAAGTAGATGTTGAGACTTCCAACAACTTGTTTGAGGGCATGATCAAAACTTACAAACTTGGATTCAGATATGGAATTCTTATAAAACTAGTTTAGTTCAATCCAAACCCCGGATCAGAATCAACTGAAGCTAGTCAAGTCCTTTTAATGGCCGAGGGTTCATCTAATTATTTTTGCATTGCATATGTTAGCCAACCTAGCAATAGTTTGACTTGCCAAAATATGGGAGTCAAGTGGCCTTTTGGTGAGTCAAGATGTACTTGTGAATGTTCAAACTATCTATAGCAGTACCTACATTGATTTTAGAGGGTTAGGAGTTGGACTTTAGCTTGAACAAGAAACCATATGGATAAGATAGACAACTCTTCTTGAGTGCATTCTTTCTTTGAGGGAAAAAGGTACCCTCTAAGAAGATTGGAGAGTGAGAAGGAAAGACTGTGAGGTGAATTACAGGAGAGAGGAGAAGAGAAGGGAGCGGAACTGTGAAGGGACTATTATTAGTTTAAGTATAAGGCATACGCTTAAGGTAGACTATTGGGATTTGGAATTCAATTAAGACTTATATTTTCCTCGGTAATTCTATCCTCATGTCTTGGCTGACACACTAGGACTTAGAAGTTACCTTACTGGTCTATCCTCATATCTTGGCTGATCCTTTTGTGATGATAAAGGGGTGGTTGGCCACATTTAGTATTGGTTGGCCCCATTCAACGATTGGTTGCCTCTAGCTTGGGTGACAAAGTTGTCACTTCTCAGTGAGCTGTGAAAATGGATCTAAGTCTTATATTCTTTCTTCAAGCATTTGTTATCTCACTTTTCAATTAATTAAAGGACTATTAGACTAAGTTTGAATGAAATTAAACCCTAGCCACTCTTCTTTATAGGATAGAGGCGACTAGGTGGGGTTTATTACAATCTCACAGGGTTTTTATTAGCTGCTTCTTGGTTGAGTAGGACCCAACCCTTGTCACGGACTTAGCTGGGTTTGCCTAAGTCGTGCGGTACCCTTACGTGTCCGTCCTGAGTAGGACCCAACCCTTGTCACGGACTTAGCTGGTTTTGCCTAAGTCGTGCGGTACCCTTACGTGTTCGTCCGCAAAGGTCAGCCTCCCCAAAACCTCCCATGGTCCCTTGGGACCTACAAAAGAGAAAACGGGTTAGAGAAAGCGCCTCACTCGGGATCCACAAGCAAACATTTCAGGAAACACTTAATAGACAATGTAAATTACAAACAGACTTTACAAGCTCTGAACGGTTGCACAACAAAGGGTCAAAATGATCCACTACAAACCGAATATCTCTCATAAGTGTCCACATGACACAACCTTTATTTACAAGCCTAAAACGACCACCAAACCCAACTAAAATGGGGTTGGTAAGCCTTTAACCGTCCCTCTACATGCTGTGCAAAGTATGAACAAACCAAAAGACACGGACATACATAAGTATTACATCAAACATCCTGTTTAGAATTTTGTCCGTGACATTCTCCCCCACTTATTCCTTCGATGTCCTCGTCGAAGCCTTTGCCGACACTGCAACTCCTCGCCTTTGCTGAGTCTTCAATCTTCTGCTCCAACTGCAATGCGCCTCTTGGCTCCCAACTGCTCTCCGTTGCTGTTGTTGAGTAGTCGAACTTTTGATTCGCTATGTTGTTTCCACTCGCCAATGACTCTGACTCTAGTGTAGGGTTGGTTGAGTTGTGTTGATCCCTGTTGGTTCCTGCGGATCCTCCAAATGAAGGAAAAAACCATCCTTACTATGCGCCAGTCTCTCAAATGCCTCATGCTACTTGAACTGGGTGGATGCTTGTTGGAGCTTTAACGAGCAACGCCTCGTAAACTTTAGAAGCTTTGGGTCTTTCCTCCACAAAATTTGTCTATCGACTTTTATTTCACTTAGTTGTCACTTCCAAGTAGATTCGCATCACTTCTGCTTTCGATTGACATTCTGTTGGGAAATGAAGCGGATAATCTACTCTCAGTAGCACTGATCACCATTGGTGAGGATTTGACAACTATTGTCTTTCATTATCTTCGAACGGTCTTTGAACCTGTGTAGAGCTCCTCTACTGGATAGATAAGAGAATTGGGGTACTCGGTTTCGCCCATTCTCTTAAGAGTTGAGAAGACAATAGTTACTTGACTTCGCCCGCCTCCTCAAGGGTTGTACTCCATGCATCGAGCTGGTTACTGACCTTCGCCTACTCTTTGCTCATACTTCTGAATCACTCGAAGTGTTTGCACTCCTTGCATTGAGTTAGCTACTGTGATTCACCTTCTTAATGCCATCAAACTTCTGGAATGCAGGAAGTTTTCACCCCAACTTGGAGTAAGTCTCTAATAGTTTTGGTCGCCTCTAGGATTGTATCGTCTTCTCTATCAACCCTGTCGTCTACTCCACTGAGTAGCAAAGGTGCAACACCGTATACTGCCTGCTTTGTTCCATGGTCGTGCACTCTTGCATGACCCGAAGTCCTTCACTTTCGGTTATTTTGATGAGAAGCTCGTTGACATCGGTCGAAGTTCCTTGGCCTTTAACCTTCAACCTTGTCTCGATATTTGGAGTTTGCCTCTGTATACTGTACCTCCTCGGCCCCTTTCACGAACAAGCGCTCTCCCTCAATGAGAGTAAGGGATCAATGACTTTCATGGAAGTTTCGCCTTTGCGGTACCATGGCGTTGCTATGCCCATGGCCCTACTATCCGTCGCCTCGTATTTGCATCCATTTTCTTCACGATCAATAGATATGTCCCTGTGGCTCTCCTCCGAGTCCACCTCCATTCTAACTGATGCTTGATTTTGGGTAGCTAAGTCCTTTTGGACTCATCATCGCTTACTCGACCCTTTCGACCCCCTGCTTCAACACCTCTGTGTTATCCAAGCAGCTCCATTTTGTCGATAGAAAGACAGACTGTAACTCTCATGCATGGCCTCTACCATCATGTATTAGGGTTTGCATCGATTCTGTTCTTCTTAGCTTCCTTGGTAGCAACGTTCGCTTACTCGACCTTGTCCTCTGATTCGCCGGGCTCTCTTAAACGAATATGGGCTTTGGAGCAGTCCAACTCTCCAGCTGCTTCGATCATACCTCTGCATGATCAAGTCTCTCCCTTGGGACTCACTGGTACTTGCATTCAAACTTTTCCCTTAGTGGAACACAGCCCCCAT